CTGCGATGTCCCTAAGTCATACAGTCCAATGGTTCCACAATCACATACGGCTGTTTTTGTCTAAAATTTCATTATGAGGCAAATGACTGTATTTTCACATAATATTAATTATCACTACTGAAGGACTTAATATCTGTGGATATTACTTATATTCCAAAGTAAAATGGTGATAAGATGACCAGTACTGAGAAAAAATTCGGCGGGATTTCAATACAGATGAAAGGTAATTCTTTGAAACAAAACTTGGGAGAAGATAAAGATAAAACTTGGGAGAAGATAAAGATAACCGATGATCTAATTAAAGCAAAACTCATCCTCTTTACCAGAAAGTTAAAAAGTTACAAAACAAACTCACACAATATTATTCAGGGGATACTTTTTTCTTTGCATAAAACATTTTAATGGAGCGAGAGATCCAGAACACAAACAAAACTCCATATACAGTACCAAGAAATAATGAGTCCCACAAGGAAACACACAGCAAAGGAAGAGACGGGGATGAAGGATGGATGAGGTGGAAGGGTTGTGTGTATGTGTGTTCGGGCCTTGAACAAAAGAATTTTATGCAGAAGAGAATATTTATCTGAGAAATGAATCGAGGAAGTTATATATGCTAAGTTACCTAGGGAAAGATTTCAAAGGGACTGAACAGATACTACAAAAGATGGACCTCACTTGACACCTTTAAAGAGCATCCAGAAGCACAGTGTAGCACAAAATGTTATGAAGCCAGAGAGAAGCAGTGAATACAGTCAATTTTGCTTCCTTTAATCTACAAAAGTTCTTTCTTGAAAACAACTACAATTGTACGGTACACAAAATCCATGGTCATTTGCAGCAAGAATTGAAGAAAATAAAATTCCACGAATTTTATAATTGGAAGCCATATGCAATAGTCCAGGGGAGGACTGGGAGGCAAGCCGTAGTGGTAATGGTGGAAGTGATGGAAGCTGACAGACCCCACATATTCTCAAAAGATTTGGGGTTGACAGGATGCACTGATGGAGCCAATGTGGGGTGTGCAGGAATAGAGTTCACTGGTGACTCCAAGGATCTTGGCTCAAGCAGCTGGTAAATATGGCAATATTTACTGACAGGTGGATGCCCAGGGGAGATAGGTTTGGTGGTGGGGAGAGTGTGGAAGGCAATAATTTGTGTTTAAGCGTGCTCATTTTCTAATTTTTTTTTGACACCCAAACAGAAATGGAGTTTGATGCTTACAGGGAAAGCTTGAAGCCAAGTGGAAGGATTGGATAAGGATCTGACCATAGCAAATCCAGCCTGTAGAAAATTTCATAAGGAATTAAAGACTGATCTATTTCTTTACAGGTTTGGTTCTTAAGTCTCACAGAAATAAGTGGAAAATTGACACCAGGGATGACGGCTTGTGGCTGTAACAAAATACCTGAGAAAAAATAACGTAAGGAAAGAAAGATTTATTTTAGCTCACAGCTTCTGAGGTTTCAGTCCATGGTCACTTGGGTCCACTGATTCTGGGCCTCTGACGAGCAGAAAGAGATGGAGGAAGGGGCTGAAGATGCATGTAATCCCCAAGAGCACATCCTCAAGGACTCCCTCCCTCCATCCAGATCCCACCTCCTACAATAATCACCACCTTCAATAGTTCATTCAGCTATGAACCCAACAATGGATTAATCCATTCATGGGGCCAGAACCCTCCTGATCCAATCACTTTCCAAAAGCCAAAGCCTTTGGGGGACATTCCAGATCCAATGCATGACACCCTGACACCTGATTTGTTTCAGATTCAGATTGTTCTTCTTTCAGATTTTAGGAAGGTCCTATACTGCATACACCAAGCATCAGTGACTAGGCGGAAATCTTACACATGACTATTTCTGCAATAAAACACATGGATATTCCCATTAAGCAGGATAAATAAAGAACATAAACAGCCCCCAAAGTTGGAACATTCAGATTTTGTTGCTATATGAGTTTGGGTTTTATCATTTTAATCGCTCTGCTTCTAGAATTAGGCACTGCAGA